CGATTGCCTCCCCACACCCGGCATAGACTTAAAAGACGTTTTCACGTCAAAATCATATACTGAGATACTACTATTTTCACCTCTCCATGGTCCAACTAAATTCGCTACCCACATATCCATTTTAGTTAGTTTAATTTATTTCCACTTAGGTATGCTATTACGCTCAGTCATACATGCGACGAGTGTAAAGGAGAACGGGTGCTGCATTGCACGCCACCTACATCAACCTGCGAAAATGTTCCAGCCTATGGAATCACCAGGATTCTCCGTGGTCAAGCACGACTGTTTCTGCTTCAAATGGCGTTATTCTTTGACGTCAGTCCACTTCCACCCAATACCCTATGCACCTACTGATGTTTAGCAGGTGGGTATTTGCTCTACTCTGGGGCTGCGTCTGCGTAAGTCACACATATGTCTGTGTTCTCCCTTCACCTCGCTGAGTACTGGGACAGATGATCTGCCCTTTCAATTTCGAGGACACTATAGGCGTATCCGGGACGAATAAAGCGCCTAAGCGTTCGTACTTCTACTTCAAAAACTAACGTTAATCCTACTGACGGTTCATATTTATAAATCTTATGGGATGGAGACTGAAATCTTTTAGGGTGACGTACGAATGCAATTTCCAGTCGTGAATCCGCTAACAATCCCAAGAATTTATAAGCGTGTGGTTCTACTAATGTGGGGTAAATATTAGTATGTTTCCAAAAAAATCTTTCAACTAATTCTTTAGCATATACACTTGAACCATGTAAAACATGCGGGTGTGAAACATGCAGTACAGTAAATTCAGTTTCTCCTATTTCTGGTTTTGAAACACAACAACAACCCATATAAATTACTACTAATATATATTCATCAGCATTCACAGTAAAGAAAGACAAATGTAATGAAACTAATAAGCCACAACATAAAAATAATAATAAAGCACATTAGTACAGGGTTATATTCCATAGCGCGTTCTGAAGGCTGAGTTCTTACAACATTTAAATCGTGACGCTGCCACCAAACTGTTATGGCTGTAGGATGGGAATAAGGAAAGATACCTATCCCCACCTAACCCATAGGTAACTTCTTACAATCAATCACAACACTGGTTAAAGTAAATATATTTCAAATAATTAGTTTGACAAAAGAAATTAAATACAAAGTAATTGAATATGAAATGTGTTTGTAAGTACCAATCTTTCAACTATTCAACATTTAACCAGTCACCTCCTGTACTACGTATATTCAGCACTAATAATGCGTGGCTTGTAAGATTGTCTAGTTCTCTACTTACATGAGTATGCCAATAGAAACACCCATATCTGTTCGATTCTGTGAAGTCCCATGTTAGTCGAATGCTCGGACTAACCTGACGACCTCCCCCCTGAACAAGGTTCCTTTAAATCACATTCTGTGCACACTGAAGTGTCCAACTTCTGAAACGTCTCCGTTTAAATACGTGTTTCATTCAGCATCACATGTCAAGTAATATTTGTTACGTGACTCTCTATTGGCTGATCACGCCCTAATTTCAAAATGAACTCTATAAAAGAAGGTGACTGATTGGTGTCGTCTTTACCACAACATTTCCGTTATATTCCCCAAAATGACAACACATGTCTCCAAGACACGTACGCGGTGGGTTTCCCAACATCCTATTGTTTTTCCCAACTAACTGCAACTCTGGTGGGATTGTCTTACAGAATGCAACTTTGGTTGAAGCTGACTGCAATATTACAGGTTCTTGTTTCAGGAGATGACAACTCATACAATATGTATCAACAAGAAAATTAAATACAATAAAGAAATATCAAATAATCAATACTTAATATATAAATCAAAAGAAATGTAAGCAGGTGAATTTGTATGTGTATACAAATATAAGTGTACAAGTGTGCTCATAACATCTACCCTCACCTTTACGATATACGCTCATTTTTAGCACATTTTAATTGGGTACATGTACAAACAAAAGGAAATAAGATTACACGTGATTTCCTGTGGAAGTCATTAATAGTTATTAATATCCATTAATTTAATTTGACACATTTTTCACCAAAACAAATGTTTGGAGAGAGAAACATAAATTGATTGCAAATTATTTTATCTTGATAGCATTTATAATCACATTTGGTTGAAATACCTGAGCCATCTGTTTCCAAAAAAATCTTTCAACTAATTCTTTAGCATATACACTTGAACCATGTAAAACATGCGGGTGTGAAACATGCAGTACAGTAAATTCAGTTTCTCCTATTTCTGGTTTTGAAACACAACAACAACCCATATAAATTACTACTAATATATATTCATCAGCATTCACAGTAAAGAAAGACAAATGTAATGAAACTAATAAGCCACAACATAAAAATAATCATAAAGCACATTAGCCAAATTTGCTAATGCATGTATCATAAGGAATTTTGAATTTGCATGCTTTATCCTGTTTACAGCTTGAAGGATGTGTGTGATTTATACTCATTTATTTATTTTCAGACCTCTGGATGTAGGATTGCACTCTCCTTACATCCTAAAATATACGTGCCCTCCAGATCCGGATGTTGTGGTTTTCGACGAGCAAGAAGGGAATAAACACCATAGTGTGTTTAGGAACTTTGACGCTGTGTTTCAGCCAAGTTCCACACAGGTTAGTAATGATTTTAGATAGCCCTGTCATTAATGTTCATTGAGATACTTGTGTTGATTTACCTTCTCAGTAAGCTTATAAGTTTACTATGAACTCAAAAGAAAACAATACTCCAACTGTGTGAAATATTTATGTCTCAGTTAAGATAATAATTTATAAACTGTTAAAGTTATTATGCATTCTTTGCATGATGTGCATGAAATGAGCACATATATGTCTGGTCATGGCTGTCTGTCCTCATAATTCAACTTGAGATTCACTGGACAAATTTGGTATGGGCATTATGCCATGGTTCATATCCAGGTCAGTCCATATGGAATTTATGGATTTGTGGTATAAACAGTGGCACTGGGACAGCTTTTTCTTTGAGTTCTTTGGTTTTCACCTGTCAGTATTATTACACGACTGCTCTGTATTTACTCGTATTATCTGCGGGATGGACAGTGGGCCTGTTACCAGCCCAGTTACGCAGAGACGTAGTTTAACCCCATCACAACAAAAAAGATGAGGAGCTTACCGAATGTAAGTTTGGTGACTGCATGTAGTATGATGTGGGGTGGAGGCAGTAGCATGCACAGGACAGGTGAAAAATGTGTATACAATTTGTGTGTAGTAACCTCAATAGAAAAAGTACACTCGGGAAAGCTATGTTTCTAAGGCTTACTGTTTTTCTTTTGTCTCATTTAGTCTTAGTTTTTAACTTCCAACATTAACATTGAATCACTGTGAAAGCTTAAAATCATTTGTTGCAGTTGCTACAGGGAAGTGTACATTGGGATGTACAGTCACATTATGATTTAAAGGAAAGCAGTACTCGTTTGAATCTGGAGGCCCAAGTTTAGACCTCTTTCTGATCAGCTCTCTCAATTTAACTTAATTTTTTAGTTATATAATTTTGCATATATTAATGACTCTTACAGGAAATTAATTTTGCAGTAAAATAAGAAGGCAGCAACAGTGTTTTGTTAATTCAGATCAATATATGATGAAAACACATTCATTCTTGAGCTTTCTCTTTATGTTTCAGGTTCAAATGTACCAGTCAATTGTACAACCGATGATTAGTGATATCCTTGACGGATATTACTTCACAATTATAGCCTGTGGCCAAACTGGTTCATGCAAAACTTTAACAATGGAAGGGGAGATACCAAATGGACCTCTTCCTTGGGACGCTGTAAGTATATTTATATTTATTCTCCTGTTGGCCTACATTTCATTTTTAAGGAAACAAAGGTTAGTACCATCCAGTTTGTGTGTGTTCCTTCAAGTGTAGTACCATTTGTTCAGTTTTTGGCAAAACTGGATGCCACCCCATATTTTGAATTTCTTTCAGTTACGATCAGACACATCTTGTAATGTGGTGATACTAGTTTGACTTAATGTATTTTGCAAAATGAAATATAGCAATTCTTAGAAATGATGAGCAAAATCATTAGAGTTTGATGATGAAGAATGGAAATGTGTTTTTCCATTTTCAGTGGTACCAAGCAACATATGAAAGTCTTAAAACAGAAAATTTAAGGCAGGTAAAAACACAATAGCTAACTTGACTATAACTAACTATAACAACGTAATTTGAGCCATGCCATTCTTTCACTTATACAGCAGATGGTTATTTTTATAATAAAACTATAAATCTAAATTTTGGTCATAAATGGAGCCACATTGTTCTGCACTAGATTCCTCAATTATCATAACTTTCTTTTCTGTCGAAGTAGTGGTGCTCTAAGAGTTTCAGCCCACTGTCTGTTGTGTGACAGTCCCCAAGGGTAGAAAAAAGCAGGCACTGATGACTCTTGGTACAGTCATTCTCTAGATCCTAGTGCAGCCAATATACCATGGATCAATATGATGATGGTGCTGCTACATGCTGTGGACACAAGGCACCAGAAACAGTAATGGCACATGCTTACCAAATGGATCTTTTCTAGTGGATGCCCACTATCTTTTGCTTGAAATGCCTGTGGGGACCAAATGCCCAGTGATGGATTTAGAACAGATAGACTTTCTATGGCACCGACCAGTATCCAGTTACAAAACAATCTACTCATTTGCCGGGTCACAGATAAAAGCACCTAACTTGGGACTGCAGGTATGATAATGTGCTGCTTGTCCAGAGATAACACTCTTCAAAGGACAGTGTGATGAGTATGGAGCAACAATGGAATGACCAGCAGCAGAAAACTTGAGACATGGGATAGAAACCTCTTCCAGACGACTGAGCCTAGGTTTCTGCAGTGAGTAGTCAGACGGCAACCACGTGAACTATGGCACAGTCCATCACCAGTTATATTTGTAATCAAGTCTGCCTTGGTATTAGGACAGGAGTAAACATGGCATGTTCTTTTCTCTTAATGGCTTCAATAACATTTCATCCTTCTAAGTAAGCTTCTACAAAACTCCAGTACTCTACTGCCAGGTGTGTGATGTATGATTTCTTCTTACAATTACAAATGACACAAGGCAAATTGTAAGAGGTAAAAAGAAACAAGCTCCATGCACCTGAATCAATTAAACCAAATCACAAGATTCAAACATTGACATATTCAGACTGCAAAACTATTACCAAACATTGGATGCAATATCCAGAGTTAAGTCAAACAGCTTAAAACTGCATGCACATTCTTAGTGATCCTTACTGGCATTTATAACCATACAAGCATTAGTTAATTTTAGCACATTTAATGTTGCCTATATTCATACAGTCATTAATTTAGACTCTTTGTGGTTTAGAAACAGTTTGATTACACCACCAAATATCAAGTACTTCACTTTGAGGGAAGAACACAGACTGAAGATATATGAAAACAAAATACTTTAAAAAATTGATGGGAAGAGGTCTTACTACAAACAATTAAAAAATGACAAGGTGGATATTAAAATGTTATATTCCAAAGTCTGGGAAATTGATTTCACTGCAAAATCCATTTGTCAGGCTTGTAGCTCATAGTTTTCATAATATGCAGACAGTACTGTAGAAACCTGGTATCAGCACTTTCTTCGGTGATGATTTATTACATGCATGTGCATGCAATTGTAAATTTGTAATGATAAAAATAAAGCTATGTTACGAAAAAATCAACCAAGCCTCGATCAGGATGGACTCTATGGCACGACCATGACAATTGAAAAAGGACATGAGATTTGGTACTTGGAACCTTAGGAGCCTCTATAGGGCTGGGGCACTGCAATCAGTGCGTAGGGAATTAGAAAATTATAAGTTAGACTTAGTGGCAGTGCAGGAAGTGCGTTGTGTGATTTGTTTTACATGCTAGAGAGATACACCTTCTGTATACTAAAGACTGGACAATGTGTAGCTTATGTAAACATGCAGCTACTGATGTTGGCCAAACTGAATGTTTATACTTTGATAAGAGTAACAAGTGAAGAAGATGTGGAATAAACTGTTAGCTGAATGGAGACCATATATTGGGCTTATAGAGGAAATGAAAAATTGTGTTTCTTTTAACAGACACCTGCACAAAGACAAGTAGAGGTGATCAAGCAGTCAAAAGGACACAAAATACATTTTAACAGAAATCTTGCAAAATTGTACTTCTGGTAGGCGTGCCACCTACTCGAAGGCAATTTGCCGGGCGAGGAGGCTTGCGTGCTCAAATGACCCTTAGGGCCATGGCGGCCCGAGCTTCGGCTCATGGTAGGGTCACCCAAGCCGGACAGGTCTAAGGAGATGCGCTAGACTAAGAGTGATACCCTGGTACTCCAGGTTGGGGGTTGGGTGTAAGGCTAACAACCTTTCATCTTTAAAAAAAAAAGCTATGTTACGAAAAAATCAACCAAGACTCGGATCAGGATGGACTCTTTGGCATGACCATGGCAATTGAAAAAGGACATGAGATTTGGTACTTGGAACATTAGGAGCCTCTATAGGGCTGGGGCACTGAAATCAGTGAGTAGAGAATTTGAGAATTATAAGTTAGACTTAGTGGCAGTGCAGGAAGTG